AGATAGATAGATAGATAGATAGACAGACAGACAGACAGACAGACAGACAGACAGACAGACAGACAGACAGACAGACGAACGGTAGATGATAGACAGACAGACAAACAGACAGACAGACAGACAGACAGACACTTCTTTGCTAAAAGGAGACCTGGCCATAAAACATTGACAATAATTCTCTGCATTTCTCTCATTAGAAAATAGGCATCTGATTCAGATGCTCTCCAGAATTTCTGCAACTACTTCCTGAGCTGTTTAAGGGAGGGAAGGGCATCAGAAGGCCAAATATGCAACAGTCACCCTCTAACGTTTGGATCTTCTTAATCCTAATCCAAATAAAAGCTACAATGACACGATAAAATCATTTAATCAATTTGCTGGGAAGCAGTAGGGAAGAAGTCTGCCAAAGCAAATAAAACACAAAGAAAACCAGGGAGATGGGAAGGCAGAATACTTTGTTCATTTATTTAAAAAATAATGCATTTGAACTTTTCATTGTAGGAGGTACAATGCATTAAAGTAATCCAATAGGGCCAGAACATTTTCAATATGCCCACTATCCATCATAGGTGACTCTTTATCCCACAGAACCCAAACAATCTCTTATTTAGGAGGTAAAGAAGTGAAAACAATGAAGAACAACTACATCCAGTATAGGCAACTATAATAATTGAATTTGTGGGACTCTTACAAATGAAGCTAACTATATTGAGCATTGCTGGTTTTTCTTTTAGGAAAGTAGTTTTAAGTCCTGCCCTCCCTTCTTTTCTCTTGTAAAGTATTTTTTTTTTAATGCAGGATATTGTCCTACCCAAACCAAGTGGGCTGTTTTTTTCCATTTATACTTAACAAAAAGCTGCCAACTATTGGCTGCTGACTTTGGTCTTTATGACAATGTAATAAGGATTATTACATGTTTCCAGAGTTCAGAAAAGCAGTTGTGTCTTCTTTAGGTTTCTGCATACCTATACAGACTGGTGGGTTGGGCTGCCAGAAGTACCGATTTTCTACCTGAATGCAGGTTATTCGCTCATCTCCTTGCAACTCATAGCCAGGATCACATTGAAATAGCACCATGTCCCCAGGTTCTCTCCCATCTCCATTACGGGTTCCATTCATGGGGACACCAGGATCTCGACACGCTGTGGCCACAGAGCCTAGGAAAGAAAGAGGAAGGAGAGAATAAATCAGCAAAAACTTTAATTCTGGGGTTTGTTTGTTTTTTTTGTTTGTTTTTTTTGTAAGTAAAGTAATTAACACATTCTAGGAATCCTAGGGGGACATGGTGGCTCAGTGGCTAAGACACTGAGCTTGTCAATCAGAAAAGTTGGCAGTTCAATGGTTCTAGCACTGCCTAATGGAGCAAGATCCCTTTATTTGTCCCAGCTTCTGCCAACCTAGCAGTTCGAAAGCATGTAAAAATGCAAGTAGAAAAATATGAACCACCTTTGGTGGGTAGGTAACAGCGTTCCGTGCCCCTTCAGCATTTAGTCATGCCGATTACATGACCATGGAGACATCTTCGGACAAATACCGTTTTTTCCCTTGCAAGAAATGATCATGGCATATATGATTCATACTTATTAAAGAATGTGTACAGGCTATGGAACTACTGGGAGGGATATTAGAAATAAGCAACTACAAGATAGGAACTGTTAGTAGATTATTTAATGAAAAAGGAGTTGCAAAAATCCGGGCAAGATGAGGTTCATAATATTCAAAGAGATAACAGTTTAATAAACTAGCTAATACATGAAAGCCAGCAGCATCCAAACTCTTAAAATTCTGTACTTAACTCCTAAACCCTGTCATTAAAACTACCTTATTGAAGCTGCTGAAATTCTTGCTTCTTTGAACATGCCTTTTTTATTCTATTCCACTATTCATTTTATCCACCATCTATTTTAATAATAGTGTGTGGAATCACAGTCGTTTAAGCTATCATCTATAATGATGTCAAATGTACCATTGTAAATTACATCATCACCACTTACAGAGTTATGTTAATACCAGTGGTGGAATTCAAAAGTTTTTACTATCAGTTCTGTGGGTGTGGCTTAGTGTGCATAGCTTGGTGGACATGGCACGGGAAGGATACTGTAAAATCTCCATTCTCTCCCCACTCCAGGGAAATGACACTGTAAAATTTCCCTTCCCTTCCGATCAGCTGGGACTCGGGGGACAGAAAATAGATGGGGGCAGGGCCAGTCAGAGGGTTATTTACTGGTTTTCTGAACCACTTAAAATTTCTGCTACCAGTTCTCCAGAACTGGTCAGAACCTGCTGAATACCACCTCTAGTTAATATACAAATGATATATTTTGCTTTACAGTGTCCTTTGTGGATATCCATGGTATGCAATAACTTTTTTCCTTATTTGTGGATATAATGTTTTGAACAAAGTATGTCACATTTCTGAGTAAGAATAAGAGTGCACTATCAATGTCACTCTTTTACACAGACCCATCATTTAATCACATCTGTTTACTGCACACATTATTAAAAGAATTAAGGAAGCAGTAGATCACATTCACTATGTTGTGCTTTTGAATCTTTACCAGATTGAGTAGAGGTTGCTCATATATTATCATTGGGAAGTATAAAAAAATAAATTCATTAGGTTTATTAGTGGAAAAAGAACACTCTTCAGTTAGAATTTAAAAAACCCATTCCAACATCAACTGGAAGTGGATACTCAAAAACTGATGTGTGACATTTTACTCCAAATAGAAATGTTTGAGTGTAGCATTTCATTAAATATTTTATAATAATACCGCCAGGAGAAAACTTGACAGAGTAAGTGAAAAGAAAGCATATAGTAATTTAATCAGCATGCTCAACCTTTTGGATCTGCCAATACTGATATAAAATAGGTTTTAGCCTTTAGCCAGTTGTTGGCTTGTTTGTTTGTTTGTTTAACAGAAAATGCCAACATGAGCAAACAAACAAACAAAAAATGTCAAACCCTTATTTTCCTGTATATGAGGTTACTTAACGCCTCAGAGAAAGGCTCAGCTAAATAACAGTTCTAGCACAAGCCACCAGCAGGCTGTTATCAAAACACACTCACCCTTACTGTAAGGAAATATGTACTAATCCTGCAAAGCAGAAAAATGTGGTTTGTTCTAAAGTTGCTTTTACCTGGGTCACTGAACAATGTATATAACATAAGAATTCAGAGCTGACAAGGTAGAAAACAGGTCACTTTGCGTCTTTTCTAGAACAAAAATGTGCCTTGAATATTAATAAAATTGAAACTTCCTCAAAGACTACAATACTCCTAGAAAGGAATTAACTGATTAATTTAGAAGTGAACATCTTTCTCAGGCATGATTGCAACTCTAAGTTAATACTTATAAATACAATAAATAAATGTACACACATTATTGAGAGCAGCGGTGGCATAGTGGTTAGAATGCAGTACTACAGGCTACTTCTGCTGTCTGCCGGGTGCCAGAAGCCTTGGAAATTTGGGTCTCACCAGGCTCAAGATTAACTCAGCCTTCCATCCTTCCAAGGTGGGTAAAATGAGGACCTAGATTGTTGGCGGCAATATGCCGACTCTGTAAAACAGCTTAGAGACGGCTATAATATGTCTAAGTGCTATTGCTATAAAGCTAAATATTTCTAGTCAAACATGTATACAGAGGCACTGTAAGCCTCTGAATCATAAGCAAGGCAATTTATATTAAGGAAAATAAAATAAAAAACCAGTCAAAAAAAGTGGCACTTGCAAGGGAATTTAACTGGTTAGGGTTTGTTAGAGTTAGGGCTTTTTAGTGCAAATAAGTTTCCAGAGCTAGTAGAATTAGTTCTCACTAACTATTTCTCCTGACTGACTACCAGCAGTTTAGCAGTTCAATTCTTACCAGCTCAAGATTGACTCAGGCTCGCATCCATATGAAGTCTGTAAAATGAGGAACTAGATTGTTGGGGACAATATGCTGACTCTGTAAAACCGCTTAGAGAGGGCTGTAAAGCATTATGGAGTGGTATATAAGTTTAAGAGCTATTGCTATTGAGAGCCAGATTGGGTAGTGGTTAAAGGCACCAGCTTACAAATTAGAAAATCATGAGTTCTAGATCTCTTCTAGGCTTGAGACCAGCTAGGTGTCTTTAGGCCAGTCACTCACTCTCAGAGTCTAGCAAAGCAAGGGCAAACCACTTCTGAAAATGTTGCCAAGAAAAATGCATGTATTTATCCAGGAAGTCCAAAGGAGTCAATACTTATTCAAAAGCAAATACAGATATATTGTATACTCCATATCATGTTGGATAGGAAATTCTGGAGGTTGAAGTTCACGCATCCTAAAATTGCCACGTTTGAGGGTGGGAACCCTCTGCTCTCCATTCGATGATTTATCTCAAATAAACACAGGCTATTCCTTACTTAATTCCTTACTAATTTATAAGCCATTTAATTCTTGTTTCACAGTTTGGCCAGCTTACAGCTAGGAACCAAATAGTATATTTAAAACACATAAAAGATACAACAGAGAGAAAAGCAAAATAATCAAAACAAAATGAAAAAGAAAGCAAAACAATCACCCAGTCTTCATGGTCAATTATTCTAATTAACAACAGATCACTCTATTAAAGGCTATTTTATTAAGTATGGGGCTTAAATATATATGCTAATTAAATGATTAGGTTGCCAATTAAAGATACATTATTTCTCCCTGTATTTTGTTAAAGTGGTGGCTATATAAAATCCTCAGCAATCTTATAAGCTTTTTGTCTCTATATATTTGTTCAAGATCTTTTTCAATAAGTTCAAATATTTTAAGTCTATTCAGTTCAATCATTGACAGTTCTTACAGTACTCTGTACAGATGTTGCCTCAGATAATTTTTAAAAGGAGTTCATCAGTGGTGGGTTGCAGGAGGTACGCCCCAGTACGGGTATACTGGAGCCTGCCTGGAGCACTGGTAACTACTCCGGTATGGTGCCCCGGAGCGCCCGCCCACCCACCTGCACTCCTTACCTGTCTTCGGCACTTCCACGCATGCACATGGCGTGTGCAGCACCTGCACGACACTCTGCCGAGCAGCTGGAGCATCACGGAGGGTCATGGAGGTGTCACTGTATGCTAAGACGCATGTGCATGCTGCGCATGTCCGTGTGCGTGCTGCGTGCATCCATGTGGACGATGCCGGGCCCGTTCCAACTGTGGAACCCACCACTGGAATGAATGTCTATAATGTATGTACAGCAGTGCTGAGATTCAATTTTTTTTACTACTGGTTCTGTGGACGTGGCATGGTGGGTATGGTGTGGCTTGGTGGGCGTGGCATGCTGGGCATGGCCGGGGAAGGATACTGCAAAATCCCCATTTCCTCCCGATCAGCTGGGACTCAGGAGGCAGAGAATAGATGGGGGGTATGGCCAGTCAGAGGTGGTATTACCTCAATACCACCTCAAAATTTCAGCTACTGGTTCTCCAGAACTGGTCAGAACCTGCTGATTTACAGTATGTCTTTGTTACATGCTATGTTATGTATCTTAATTAACATACACATACTGCTAACTCATTTAAATTTAATGGCTTCCTTTAAAGAATCTACATATATTTTGTTCATCTGGTTAACCTTGACTAAATTTGAACAGCTAAACAGAGTTGGATCTAGTTAGCATTTTGGACAAAAATGTGAAATAAAGAAATTCCAGGAAGACTGCAAGAAAATTCTTGGACAGTCATACAAAAAAAAAAAAAAGACATAGAAGGACAGAGAGAGCGGTCAATAAAAAACTACTTCCCTATTGTTGCCAAAAACAAAAGAGAACAAAAAGGCTATATGAGAATGACAAGGAAATGAACCAGGGGTGGGTTGATGCCGGTTTTATTACCGGTTCAGAAGCCGCATACAACACTAGTGTGTGTGCCAGATGCATGCTGGGTGGTCATGCACTGTTCAATGTAAATTGTTCTTCATGCATGCACAAAACAACTTACAGTGAACTGCGCACACACAGTCATAAAAACCAAGATGGTGGCAGCCTAGCAGCAGTGAGGGAACAGTTCCAGGGCGTGGCAGGCCTGGGTTGCTGCCGATTCTGTGACCCAGGCCTGAATTCCACTACAGGTTTGGCCGAACCGGGCCGAACCAGGAGCAACCCACTTCTGAACTGAACTCTAGTTTTAGGAGACTGCCTTCTT